TATATATATATATATACAAAGAGAGAAGAGATCATTTTACTCCAAGAGTAATTAAGTCTACCTAGAATTACTCCGTTCAATAACTTATGTTCTACATTAAATTTCAACGATCAAACTGTTTAATTTAAAGTTCTTAATGCATAGATCAAATCTGAACAGTTTTAGAAAATTTGAAAATCATTTGATACTTCGTTTCATTAATTCGAATCAATGTATAAAATAATTTTATGATTATCCGTCAATTTGAATTTGATATAGAACATGAGTTATTGAACGGAGTAAGTTTAGATAGACTTACTCTTAGACTAAAAGAATCCTCTCTCTCTCTCTCTCTATATATATATATATATAATGTGGTGGTGTTGACAACAACAATAAAAGTTATAATATGATATCACACTTTTGTGTCATTGTATGATAATTCTGTTGATTTTTTTTTATTTTCCTTGTCATTTTATAATACAAATGAAATAAATATTTTTATTATTTTCATATATAATCATTTATTATAAAGTTAGAAAAAAAATGTTCAGTATAGATGAGAGAGAATTTAATTATTAATATATGAAATATAAGAGATATATTAAAAATATTGCACAAATATTTTTTGTAAAATGTAAAATATTAATGATCTATTTCTTAATTTACCTGCCAAGACTTTAAATATCAAATAAGATGCGTTAAATAAAGTATTTTATATTTCTTTTAAAACTATGTTTGTTCAAGAATTTCAAGATGTAACTCTGCATATTTTTCTTCTTCAACTATTCCATTACGTATAGTAGAATAATTACTAGATAAATTAATAACTTTGATACAAGATACATTCCCAGTGTTGTGGTAAAAGAAACAATAATTTTAAAAAACTATCATGTTAACTTTTTAATCTGATATTAATTACCTCTTTGTCATTTATATTCTAAATAATATTATCTTAAAAATTGTTGTTAAATTACATCATTTCTAATAAAAAAAATTAATTACAAAATTAATATTGTAATTTATCTATTTATTAATTTTTTTATTAGTGTAAAATTTAGAACAACGCTTATTATAAAATAAAGAGAAATAATACTACCTTTCAGTGGTAATTGCATTGAAAAAGTATTATCTCATGGACGGGTTTAATCACTTAGAGCTCATAGACACAATTAAAAATTGGAATAAACTATAAATGGAGTAGTTGAAAATAGTATAGGTATAATTGCAAACTAATAAATGAGAAATATAGAAAGGAAAATGATATAATGGGGGTAAGGAGGGTACTCTTATTCATTAAAAAATATCAAGATATATATAAATTTAGATGAAAAATTCCTCTTCGAACCGAAAAATTGGTAGTCATTTGATATAATTCAAAATCCGATCCAATCAAGACTAGGTTATTATTATCGTATTTTTATGCCAATTTTAAGATTGTGTATGGTTAAATTGTAAAAGAAAATAAACTAAATTAAGTAATATTTTATAAGGAAAAATTCATTTACTCTAAAGACATGTTTGATAGAAGGAAAATTTTTCTACATTCGAAAATCATGGTTCTTAAAAATCATAAATTCTGTAAATCATATAATTATCAAAAATGGTATATTAAATTTGTTTAGTTAATTATTCATATTTTAGAGAATATTTATAAATGTTATTAAAGAATTAAGGAATTTTACTGTATTAACATCATATTTTTTAGTACGGTAAAGCATTCATTTTAACATAAGAATGTTAGATTTTCATCTAAACAATTTGATAAAAAGACATGTACAAAAAATATTGTTAAGAAATCATATATTTCCTACAAATATTATTTCTTAGATAATATATCAAACGTGAGAAACTAACATCTCAAGGATTTCAAATTCTTGAAAAAGGAAAAATATTTTGTATCTCAAACATTCATTAAGAATAATTATTAGTAAAGTTATTTTATTTTATAATTTGTAGTTTATAAAAAATTTCAACAGTTAAATTGTTAAATTAGAAATTCTTAATGAATAAATTAAGTTTACAAGATTTTACAAAATATAAAAATTATATGATACTTTATTATATAGATTCAAATTAAAATATAATATTACTTTATTTTATAAATATACATTAAATTAATCTATATAATATAGTATCATATAATTTTTAAATTTTGTAAAAATTTGAAAATTTGGTATAATCATTTCATTTTCTATTATTTTCTTTTCTTTTACATTCTTTCGTTCTACTTTTCTTTCTCAAGCAAATATTCATGACCAAAACTTCAACTCAATTTTGGCTCTCATAGTATTCTCTCAATCAATATTTACGAGACTATATATTAATTCTCTGAAAAGCCTAACCTTTTTTAATATAGGTTCTGTAAAGTTTAACTTCATAATGACAACATTTAATTATTTAGTAATGCTTTCCTCTACAAGAATTACATAATGGTTAAAAAAGTATTGAGATTAGTTTTTGAGGGCAACGGAAAATGACAATTTGCGATGATTTTCAAACTTTTGAGACCCAATTAAAAAAATACGTAATGAAGGAATTAATGAATTAAAAAAAATATAGTTTATAAACTTATTTAAAATTTTCAAATAATTCAAAACCCTACCTGATACTTTATATTAACATAAATCGAGTTGTCAATAATGTTTTTTTACACCCCTTTATGAGATGATCATGTGATACAGCTAAAAGATGATAGAGATAGGAAAGGAAAATAAAAAGTTTTCAAAACATATATTTCCTAATACGATATTTAACATCGGTTAAGATAGACTTCAACATTGATTGTAAGATCGATGTGAATATAAAGTATTATATATATTAATATAAAATTAATATTATAAAATATATATTACTATATATTTTATAAATTAACATATATATATATATATATAATAATATATACACTATAATATATAATATAATATTATATATTACTATATTAATTAATATTATATCATATATATTGCTATATATTTTATAAATTAATATTAATAGCATATATTATGATTATTATTTTATATAATATCATATATTATATGAGATAATGTATATAGAGAAGAGAGAGAAAATTTTATCCTATCATGTTATTTTTTAACCAAGCTTTTTCCTTGAAAAATACACCAAACAGTAGATTATAACAAGATAGGATAATTATTCTATTATATTTTAAAGAAATATATAAAATAAAAGGCTTATTTTAATTCATACACAAGTTGATTTTAAATTATGGATGACTTTTTTTTCAATTTTGTTATTTTTTCTTTTAAGTTTTTATGAAAAATAGGATTTATTTTTTAACTTAAATATAATGTTGCAATAGAAGATATCACTTTATTTATAGATGAGTTTAGAAACTCAGATTATAAAAAAATCAATTTAAATTTGAGGACTAAAATTAATATTATCTTAAATTTGAGGACTAAAAAATGTATTCAAAGTTGAAAAATTAATGAAAAGAAAAGTATGAGGGGGGTTTGTAAATTCAGGGATGCTGTTTTGGGTAAATCCTAACATACGTAGTAGTTAGTAGTAGTGGGCAGTAGACAATACAATAACCTACCTAATAAGGTCAGTTTTGTGTGATCGATATAAAATAACACTCCCAAAGTCATCTTATAGATGGGCGGCGCCTAACAATACACCAGTCATGCCTCTCTCATCAATCAATATTCATCAGACTTTCTATATGTCCATTCTCAAAACCCTAACGTTCTACAAGAATATATTAAACACATAAAATTATAAAACTAAGGATAATCTTGTTAATTTTACACTCCATATTGCGACAGGGGAACAAAGTTGATAAAGATGAAAAAGGAAGAAAATAAAGAGGAAGAGTAATAGAGGTTTGCTAGAAGAAACGATTCTACACTAGGTTATTGCTAAGAAAGATATTCATTCCATGCTTGAAGAATTTCCATACACACTATAAAAGAAAGACCTAAAGATATTGGGTGCCTACACGTGTAGAGCACAGATTTAGGAAATAACAACAATGCAACAGAATTCAAAATGCAACAGAATAACACCAAGCCTATTTTAAAAGCCC